ATCAAGTGACGGAGATCAGGTGGCCGCTGTCCAGCCGCGAAGCACCAACAAGTCCCGTAACAATGGGAAGGTGAAATCCGCATCGCAGGCCAGAAATGGACAGCCAGGACAGTTTCCATGGGTCAAGTTTGGCTTGACCGAGGCGGAGTACAAGGTCCGCGGCCGCTACGGCAGCTGCTATTGGTGCAACAACACCAAGCACAAGACCTCCTTGTGCCAAGATCGAGGATTATGCTGTCCACTTGGTTCCACCGCTGGACCAACCGCTCCACGTGCAACAGTCCACCGCATGCACGGTTTCATCACCATCGGCAACCGATTCAGCAGCTTCGCCGCAATCTATCGTCGGGGACTCGACGTCATGGTCAAGACTTGAAGAGCTCGACCCATTGACGTTCACGGACTTCCAGTGGATGCCTGTTCCCTCGACCGGACGATTGCCGAAACCACATTGCAACGTGCTGATGGCACAATTGCGGGACTACTTGCACACTGCAGTACCAGCTCCGTTGATGGACGCCGGAGCAGAGGTTGTCGACCTTCACGCTTTCATCGCGAAGATCGACCACGAGTTCAAGACGCAACGTTACCACAACATCGACGCACCATTGCTATACATACGCATTCAGATCGGAGAGGCGACCTGCAGTGCCTTGATCGATTGCGGAGCATCTCGCAACTACATCAGCCAGGACTTCATGRTACGCGCCGGCCTTGGCCCACGTGTCCGGAGGAAGTCCCAGCCTACGCAAGTCACTCTGGCAGACGGTCATACGCACAAGTTCATCGACCGGTGCATTGACGCTGTCCCAGTGTACTTTGCCCCTCACGCAAGTGAGGCGGTGTCCTTTGACATTCTGGACACCAAATTCGACATGATCTTGGGCATGTCATGGCTGCGAAGCAAGGATCACCCGGTGAACTTCTTCAACCGCACCGTTCACATTCGTGACCGGAACGGAATATTAGTTCCATGCACGGTGCCTCTTCCTCATCCTTCGATCAACTGCCACGTGGTATCCGCCACAAGCATGCGAGCTTCCATCATCAGAGACGCCATCGAGGAGATGGGGGTGTGTTATCTCCACGCCCTTCCGCCACATGACACTTCATCGACGGACTCACCTTCGGATCCACGCATCACCGAACTTCTCGACGCCTACAGCGATGTGTTCGAAGGCCCTCACGGAGTAGTACCGGATCGACCCATCCGCCACGAGATCATCCTCGAGGACGGGGCCGTACCTCCGCGCGGTTGCATCTACCGAATGAGCGAGGAAGAGTTAAGTGTGCTTCGGGCACAACTCGACGACCTTCTAGAGAAAGGCTGGATTCGGCCTAGCTCATCGCCATACGGTGCTCCTGTTCTCTTCGTCCGGAAGAAGAACAAGGACCTGCGGTTGTGCATCGATTATCGCAAGCTCAACGCGCAGACGATCAGGAACGCCGGCCCTCTCCCACGCATCGACGACCTTCTCGAGCGATTAGGCGGCGCCCAGTTCTTCTCTAAGTTGGATCTCAAGTCAGGGTACCACCAACTCGAGATTCACAAGGAAGATCGCTACAAGACCGCGTTCAAGACTCGGTATGGGCATTTCGAATGGTTGGTCATGCCATTTGGCCTTACGAATGCCCCAGCCACTTTCCAAGCGGCTATGACGACGGAGTTCCGACACATGCTGGATCGTTTCGTACTTATATACCTCGACGACATTCTGGTTTACAGCCGGAGTCTGGACGAGCATGTGGAACACCTGCGCACCGTTTTGGAGCGGCTACGACAGGCCAAGTGCAAAGCAAACCGCGACAAGTGCGAGTTCGCACARCAGGAGCTGGAGTACTTGGGACACTATGTGACGCCGCAAGGCATCCGTCCGCTTGCGGACAAGATCGAGGCCCTACGAGTATGGCCCGAGCCCACCAACACCACGGACGTTCGTTCATTCATGGGATTGGCGGGCTACTATCAGCGATTGATCACCGGATACTCCAGGATTGCTGCACCTATGACGAGGTTACAGTCGCTAAAGGTGCCATTCGTATTCGATGATGACACACGCCGGTCATTCCAAGCACTTAAGACGGCTATGCTCATGGCACCCGTCCTTAGCATTTATGACCCCACCCTGCCGACACGAGTGACTACGGACGCTTCCGGCTATGGCATTGGGGCAGTCTTGGAACARCACGACGGCGACGACTGRCACCCTGTGGAGTATTTYAGCCACAAAGTGYCTCCCATSAACTCGCTTGATGATGCAAGGAAGAAGGAGCTGCTCGCATTCGTGATGGCTCTCAAACGCTGGCAGCACTTCCTCCTTGGGCGTCGTAGGTTCACATGGATCRCAGACAACAATCCATTGACCTACTACAAGACGCAGGACACGGTGAGCAGCACGATCGGACGATGGATGTACTTCATCGACCAATTTGACTTCACACCAAAGCATGTCCCCGGCCTCTCCAATCGCGAAGCAGATGCACTCTAGAGAAGACCTGATCTTTGCGCTATGACACATCATGCCTTCGCATTCGACGAGGAGCTTCAGCGACACTTCATCCGCGCATATCAGTATGATCCGGACTTTGGCATGCTCTATGCACAGCTATCTTCGGATCACCCGCCGGCCAGCCATTACCGCATTGCCGACGGGTACTTGCTCCTCCACTCGAGAGGCAAGGACTTACTATGTGTCCCACGCGACCGTCGTCTTCGGACTCGCCTCCTCG